TGGTACTTTATCAGTGTGAGAACCAAAGCTTTTAATAAACATCTGTCATTATATGCCATGTCAAAACCCATCATTTTTCAACAGACTTTGGATTTGACCTCAATTGTAGGTGGAGTACTGAGACTGAAAAAAAAAACATAGTAAGCAGAGGTTACTGTCATTGTAGTGTAGTATAGTTATTACATTATGCAAGCTAATCAGGGAGGGCCAGCCTTCCTGTTACATAAACTCTAGATGAAAATCACGCAAGTGGAAAGAGATGAGAAAATAAACCCCCATGGTTTCAAGGCTAAATCCTGGCCATTTGTAAGGAAGAGGAGAAGGCTAAATTACATGTTAGAAGTTCACTATCTCTAGGCAGGCATGAACTTGAAGAAAATGAAGCAGAAAATCCATCCTCACACATAAAATTATTTCTGCCGTGAGTTATTTGACAGTTACCTCTTGCTTCCATTCTGACATAAGTTGAAAGCAGTGTTTAATTTTCTCAATATCCTACTAATAATGAAGATCTCAAATGCATTCAAGAAAAATTGGAAGGGAGGAAATGGGTTTTAAAAATAAATTAACTAAGCAAAATATTTTAATCCAAAATGTCTTGCCTGTTAATATTGGTTTTTAGTGTGTTAAAATTAAAATGACAATTTAAACTAAATTTCTATGCAAATTAATGTAATAGCCTTTCATTCTACCTTGAGTTACAGAGGCTGTGTGTGAACTTACAGCTCCACTAAAACATCAAAAAATGCTCTAAGTTTATTCAATTATCTGTTCACTTACAAGGACTGAAAGCAAGCAGTATGGCAAGGATGTGCGGGCACTTGCTCAGTAGACCATTTTCTCCCCAGCAACAGCATAGGAAGGCCTGCTGTCCCTGCAGTACTGTAATCCCCCACTGCTCCTGGTGCCTCAGCCCCCAGGGAGCCACCAACCTGCCTGTGCCCTGCTGCAGTCTTAATTAAGTCTTGCAGAGCAGCCGTTCCGTAGGAAAAAGCTAATATAGACATGCTGTTAAAACGAGATGAAATTAAAGCTATGGGCCCTAACTAACAGCTCCTCACTCTTCCTTAGTGCTGAATGTCATTCTCAGTACTGGCACCTTTGTGCTGCCTAAAGCAGACGTCTTCTGTCATGAATTCTAATCTGACCATCCTGAGGAGGAGACAAACTATGTGGGTAGTGTTGAAAAAAGGAGAGTCACAGTATCAGGGAAAAATCCATGTCCTTTTTAGTCTGTATAAGCACCTATAGTGTTTTGAGGATGTATCCATTATGCTTACATTGGGTGCTCTCTACTGACTTTCTTTCTGCTCAGTCTTAGCACAGATTGTATTCAAAGTTGGTAATAAAGACAGTTCATTTTTATAAATCTGAATCTATTTTTACAAGTCATTTAGTTTTTGAACAAACTGAAATGAAAAAGAGAACGGTCCAAAAATGTGATGTACTTGAAAACTAGAAAGAGAATATCAACTTTTATGTTGCAGTAGCACATCATTCCTGCCATTCCACAGTTTGACTCTGAGGTGCTTACATTTTTTAATCAGATGTCTTTTGTTGGGTGTAGGCATCTGCTGAGTGAATCCATCAGTAGGAAGATCCATTCAGTAGGGAAGATATGTGGGTCTGCTATATATTCTGTCTATATGCCCTGGAAAGCCAGGAGAGGCTCATTTTGCTCAGGGCTCTTGTGTAATGAATCCAAGAGCCAGAGCAGCATGTGTTCATTATTAATTGTAGACAGACAGTGAAGAAGCTCTTTGCCCCCAGATTTTGCCTTGTGGAGCATAGTGCCATTTCACAGGCTACTACAATAGCTATTACTTAACAGTGCATGGCCATTGATCTAAATTCATCTAATCATTTTAAAATTATTGTGATATCTAGAAATAAAATCCAAATTCAATAAAACCTCTGGTATATACTTTCTATTTCTCTCTCTGATCTTTTCTGTTTTCTCATCCCCTTAAAAAGCAATAAGAGAAGTAATAACTCGGCTAATAAGGTATACATAAGGCAGAATTTTCAGAGCTTTTATAGATGAAAGGTATTTATTCATTCCAGTAAGTAACTCTCATGGCTTTCCTTATTGTTTTAAAATCAAGCATTGAAGTTCCTCCACAGGTTTTGTTGTTTTAAGGCAATTCTTTTCTATTGTGCTGTGTCAAGTGTTACACTCCATACCCAAATCTGCTCTGTTTTAAAACAAAGTTTGTCCAGAACTTCCTGATATTTAAATCCTGTTACTTCTGAAATTTACTTGATCACTATTAAATGTTGGCTGGTGATCTGTCATCTGTATGCACCAGTCCCAGAAAATGCTGCAGAAGAATTGTGATAAAGGATTCTTAAGGCCTAAAAATGTGTCTGAGAACATTTCACATAACCTGCCATTAGACTGAAAGCACAACTAAACGTAACATGCATTTAACTAGTAACACTCCTCTGTGAAATTACCCACTGTTAACAATAGTAAAGCAATTTTCACAGAAGTTTCATTTACTTCAAGTGATTTCTTTAAATGGGTAATGTAGAAAAGAAAATCACTACAAATTTCAAAGTGAAGAAGCCAAGGTAAAGAGACTATTTCACTAATAGCAATTTTCTGTTAATGGATTGGGCGGAAAGTTGTGTGGTCACACTGCTTTGGTTGTCCTAGCATTGGTATTCATCGTAACTGCACACGAGATAGGAGATGACTGCAGTCATGGATGCAAAGGTTAATCCTACAAAACACATTTATTAAACCTGTCAAAATAACTAAATATATAAATCTTCACTACTGCAAGTTGTCTCATTTGATGCTTTAGAGCCCTTCTGATTATGAAATACAAAAAGGAATTAAAATAATGGAGTAGGGAAGAAAAAGAGTGACAACAAAATTAACGATAATAAGAAACTATTATTTCAGAAGTACGGAAAACAGGACGGCTTTCATCCTTTATTTATCAAACTGTGCCACAGGAAAAAAAGTCCCATTTGAATCAGAAGAGTATTTGAGGTTTTAGTTCTTTTTTCAGAGTGAGGGAGAACCATGGCAGAGAAGGCAAGCTGTTCTTCCTCCCAGAGATGCTGTTGACAGTTTTACAACAGACTGCTATGTAAAATTTGCCAACCACAAGATATGCCAATATGCTGTTGGTATAAAACCCCCTCAGAGCAAACCTCCCTGACTGACCCGAACTGATGCCGTGATAATGCCTGAACTGATGTGATGATAAACAACGAGGGGTTGCTTTAACCGCTCCTCTTAGGAAATGCCAGAGATGTTACTGTTCCTCAGTCTTTGTTGCTGCCCAAAAGGTCATACAAATTCAGTGACCTTCTTTTCTTCTGAGGTGGTTCTGCTCTATTGCCGTTCTGACACTAAGCTTCCCAGATGTGAAGAAGGAGAATTTACGCTGTTGCTGTGTACCATTCACCTGCCTTGCAAATAAGTAGAATATTTTAGCCTTGGAGCTCGTAAGCAGCTTACCAGTCTAGCACTGTAGCTTCTTAGAAGCTGTACAGAAAAAGAGCTGTACAGTAGAACTTAGGACTGTCAAGGAAGCTAAAGGAAGGGGAAGGATAAAACACAGATCTATTTTAGAAAATGCAGACTCTGAATTCAAATGTATTCATTTAGGCATTGAGAGGCCAAAAGCACGAACAGGTGATTGTGTAGTGTGATAGCAGTTCTTTTTATGAAGTACTTATTCTCTAGATGTGCTCATGCCTCATTATATTTAGACAACATACACTGCTAGCAATTCTAGGACTTTAAGTGAGCGTGTTTTCTCTCTTAAAGAATGCGTGAAAGGTAGTGTAAGATACAAGATAAAAAGAGTACTAAAGATATATAAGAGCACTAAATATATATAGACGTGCTTTAATGCTAAAAGCTCATTAAAGTGAGTCAATAGAACTTCCTTTTACTTGCATGCTCCACATTTAAAATGTACAGAGAAAAAAAAAGGGATATTTTCTCTGATTTGTTTTACTCTATTCGTATGTCCATTTGTCTGACATGGGTTAGGTTGAGGTGCCCAGACTTTTACATAGCTCTGTTTATAACAAGAAGACCCAGTGTTATTTTTGCATACTCCTATATAGGAAGGAAGAATTGGTTGCATTTTTGGTATCTGAGTGACTTGGTCTCTTGCTCAAATTTTCTCTTTAGTTGCTTATAATTTAAATAATCGCAGAATCACAAAACAGTTGAGGTCAGAAGAGACCTCTGAAGGTCATCTAACCCAACCCCCCTGCTCAAGAGGAAACACCCACAACAGATTGCTTAGGACTATGAATCATCTCCATATTCAAAATATAGCGTGAGGGGTGTTGCTGACCAACTGTTCAGTTGGGAAATTAAACAATCTGATAGTTTAGAAATGATGAAATTGCCTTGTCCTAAATGATGAGTTCACTTTAGAACTCTTTGTTACTTTGATCAATGATGTTTGACTATATATTTGGACACCTTAAAAGGGCCTGCCTTCAATGATCTGAAAGTGTGATTTTGAAAGAACTTAGTGTATTTATCTCTGTGCATCACTGCTTGTAACTTCTGGAGTAAGACTGAATGGAAGGATTGTCCATGGTGTGTGCGCATATGTCTGTGTGTGCTTCTTTAGCACTGTAGTTTCCTGAAATAAAAAAATCATGAGAAGAACAAGAGTGACAGGATGGAGGTGAGGAGAGTGAGCATCTATGGCTTCATCTACTTATCTGTTTCTAAATGAAGGTATTTTTGTGGGAAAAAAAAAAAAAAAAAAAAAAAAAGGAAGTATTTTAGTTAGAGATTGCATGAGAATCTTTTCATGTGTTGTTTTATGGTAAAAACGTTGTGTTGGGTAAATTGTTGCTTATGATTTTCCCAAGAATGCTGATATTAAGTAAACTGAAGAATTTAGAAAAGGAGCTGGCAAATAGGAAACATTTCTGAGCTGCTGAAAACAAACCCTGAAGAAAAATAATCTGTTCTGCTTTTGTTCTATTAAAGCTGCTGCCTACCAGTCAAAAGTTGATGATGTGGATGTATCAGGTTATTCCTGATACAGGGATGTATGGGAACTGCTGAATCACGGCCCGAACCTCTGACCACCTGAATCAGCCCTGGGAGCACAGGTGAAGACAATTCCCCTGTGCTACTGGAAGGGGGGGGAGCCTGGCTGCGCCGCTCCTAGACCCCATTTAAGAACTGACTACCACTGGGGAAGGATGTCTTTTGGAGATTGCTCCTCTTGGAGTCTTCTCAGTGAGCCCAGGACAAAGGTAAGCATTCCATCCATTCTTCTTTAGCATGATAACCTGTTTAGCCTAACTTTCCTGTATAGTTCTTAATTATAGCATCTGTATATTCACTGATTACACAAGGGATTGCTATCTGATTTCTACAGATTTGATCACTGATTGATACACATTTTAGTTAGCCATCTAATAGAGGAGGAGGAGGATGTAGGGATTTCTTTGTTGACCAGGACACTGTCATGTATTTATTTTAAAGAGAGGAAAAAATGCCTTGTTCTGTTGTTCTAAGTGAAATTTTTGAGGTACATCTTAGGAAGTTTATTTACATTATTCAAGGTAGACTTGTATGCTGTTTAAAAGGTACCGTTTTCTAACTAAGAGGGCATCCATGAAACCTGAGATACAGTGAGAATGTTTCCCCTGAATTCAGAAGAGTTGAGATCTCATCCTGAGTACCACTCATTTTTTACTGATGTAAAATGGTGCATTCCTGATTGACTGAAGCTTATTGTTAGGTAAGCACTTACTGTAAGATTCTGTGACCAATGAGGTAATGATATGAAGTTTTCAAAATGATTCCTTTCTTCCTGATGCTCATAAACAACACCTTAAAGGGCTTGGAGACAAAGTCTGCTGTTGTCTTCCTGTTCTTCTTGTATAGATTTTTTTTTTATTTTTTTTTTTTTTTTTTTTTTTTCCCCTATCCCACATATGTTTTTACTGCTGATGTTGTTCAGGAGAGTTATTGTGAACTGGATCAAATGATTGATTAAACCGCAGCTGGTTTTTAAAAAATATTTCTAAAAACTAAGCATGCTTTTAAAATAAAACAGGTGAAGAGCTCTATGAACCTTGAAAACAAATGTACGAAGTAGTGAAAAAATGATTATTTTGCTTTTCCACATTAACTTTCATAGTGTTTGGGTAGTATTTCCTAGTTTAACAGAAAATAATAGATATTGCGTGTATTGCTAATCGCCTGGTCACTGCTCCTTTTAAAATGTTTTGACTGCAAGAAATGAACAGAAGATGTATGCTAGGAGTGGTGGGCTCTAGGTTCTTGTGCTGTGGCTATTATCAATTGGTTGTCTGACAGGCAAGCTTACGTTTTGTGATGTTGTGATAAACTGTTATTTTTAAGGTGCCAGATTTGGCCCAAGAACATGAGTGGGCAATTTATCCCAATAGTTCCCATAATCAACTGTGAAAACCTCCAACTGTCAGGCTTTTTTTCTACTTCCCTGCTCATCACAAGCAAGATGCCGTCACTAGTCAGAAATCTTCCAGATGGTACGTGCAGCTTTTTGGGGTCTGCCTGATGAGAGTGGTAAATGATTAAGTACTCACGAAGGTAAGCATCAGCTTGTGACTACTGCTCTCTTGAATAATAGAGCAAGGTGTGTTATCAAGCCAACAAAGTGCCAGAAAAAATGTAGGTATGTGAATCTCAAACACCACTTTACCTCAGATATCATTTGAGCCTGCCACTTTACCACACTACACCATGTGAAATACTCCCAATGCTCTGCAAAGGGCCATGGGAAGACTCGGGCACCACGAATGACTGTACACATCATTAACTCACCTAAGGGGTTGCAGGGGTTTTGGTGGGACTAAGGGCAGAAGGTCGTGTATCCCTAAGCTTTGCATCCTCCAATTTACCTTCATGTTTGTGAGGACCAGGGAAGGATTCTGAGGCTTGAGAGTGTCATTTGATCTTATCCAGGCAAGCACAAAGTGGTGTAGCCAGTGAACTGTTGAGTTTCTTCTGGAAATGCTATGCTTCATAAGTTGTTCCTTTCTGAATAATCAGAGAAATGTATGTGTATTAACTTTTTAAAAATCTCTGCTGTAAATAGGCAGTGTCTCTGGAGCTAATATATCCAGGCTATAAAGCTTCTGGTTAGGACATGGGATATCAGTTTTGCCATTTTTTTTTATTTTTTTTTTCTTTAGCTCTGCTTCCAGAGATGTAGCTCATGGGGGAGGGGGAGGAAGATGCCTTTGTGTCCATCTTATCTGTTCTAACAAAGTAAAAGAATTGAAGAGCATAGCTGTCCACCTTTGCAGTGACCTCAGAGAGGTTCTCTACAGAGTGGGTCTGTAGGAGCAGCCCTAGAGCTCTGAAAGGCTGATGACCAAAGAGGTAGAAGCTATCATGTGCATACATGAGGCCTTTCAGGAACAGTCAGACTGAAACAATGATGGTATTATCCTTGCAGACAGCACAACCGAATCTTAGCAAAATATATTGTTTTAAAATTTCTGCTCTCCTTTATGTCAGGCCAGTTGTTAAATATTTCATTTTTTTCATACTGTTGGATCAGCTGTTGAAAGCCTCCTAGGTGAGTGGTACCTGACCAAAAGTCTTTAACACGTGGTTGGGAACATGCACACATAATCTGTAGCTTGTTCTTCTCCTGATGTCAATCTATCTCTCTTACATTTGTTATTAATTACACTGCCTATTTAAGTAATAGTACAGGGCTGCTGCTTTTTTTTTTTTTTTTTTTTTTTTTTTTTTTTTTTTTCAGGATTCCTGACAAAGGCTTCATCTGAGTGTTTCACAGAATCACAGAAATATCAAGGTTGGAAAAAACCTACAAGATCATCCACCTATCACTGATAGTTCTCACTAAACCACGTCCCCAGCACAAAATCCAAACGTTCCTTGAACACCTCCAGGGTCAGTGACTCCCACTTCCCTGTGCACCCATTCCAGTGCCTGATCATTCTTTCAGAAAAGTAGTATTTCCTAACATCCAGCCTAAATCTTCCCTTCTGCAGCTTGAAGCCATTCCCCCTGGTCCTATCACTGATGACACGAGAGAAGAGGCCGACCCCCAGCTCACTACAGCCTCCCTTCAGGAAGTTATAGAGAGCAATGAGGTCTCCCCTGAGCCTCCTCTTCTCCAGGCTGAACATTCCCAGCTCCTTCAGCCTCTCCTCATATGGCCTGTGTTCCAGACCCCTCACCAGCTTTGTTGCCCTCCTTTGAACACGTTCCAGGGCCTCAATGTCTTTCTTGCAGAGAGGGGCCCAAAACTGGACACAGTACTTGAGGTGGCCTCACCAGAGCTGAGTACAGGGGGATGATCACTTCCCTGTTCTTGCTGGCAATGCTGTTTCTGATGCAAACCAGGATGCCATTGGCTTTCTTGGCCACCTGGCTGAGAGTGTTCCTGTCCAAGCCACAGGCTGCCAGCTTCTGCAGGAGAATACTGTGGGAGACAGTGCCAAAGGCTTTGCTGAAGTCTAGGTAGACCACATCAACTGCCTTTCCCTTGTCATTAGCTCCTAGAAGGAGATCAGGTTGGTCAAGCAGGAACCCTCTGTGAACCATGCTGGCTAGGCCTGATCCCCCAGTTGTCCTGTACGTGCCATGTGATCTCCCTCAAGACAGTCTGCTCCATTTCTGAATTCCTGATGTAAACATATATTAGTATATATTAGTGCATAATGTACATATATATATATTCCTATATAAATATAATATATACATAAGGAACGGTGTTTTTCTATTAAAAACTGGAGAAAATTGACTGTACATGCAAAAAATGTAAAATTGAAGCATGATACTTGGTGGAGAAAGGTACCTGATAGGTCTTGTGGAGTTTAAAGGCTAAAAATGGCTTGAGGCTTTCTACATAAGCACAGTATGTGCAGTTCAGAAGGAAGAATATTTTCAAGTTTGGCTCCAAATATTGAAACTAAATTTAGAGTGGGATTTTTCAGAAATCCTGGTGGATTTATAAACTACTTAAATGCTATCCATAACCTCTGATAGAAAGAAAGAAAGACAAAGTAAGATTCCCTGAGCTGATCAATAATTAAATGTATGTTTGAAGGGATTTTTTCCTCTGCCTGGCTAAATACACATTTAAGTTGAAAGTTACATTATCTTGTATAACAAAAGGCTGTGGTTCAGTCTAATCTCAAATTATGTGCAGGATGGCTGCAGCATAGGTCACCTTAATACAGCTGGTTTATAGGCAGTGATGTGCGAGTGCTCTTTGCTCACCTTGAAGAAATGCTGCCTATGAATTGTAAAATACTAGAGCACTCTTCTTGTTTGCTGATTCCACTAACAAAATTGCATGGTATAATTGAAGGACAGGATTGGTTGATTGGGATCACGTTTTCCCTTTGCTTTATACACAAGATATATGCCATCATGAGCTGCTTCACTGAGGGCTATCTTGGAGTATTGTTTAGACAGTGATGTCTGGATGCAAGAATTGGCAGAGGGGGGCTGAGAAGAAAAAGGGATGTATACTACAGGGATGGTTATGCACTCTTGCTGATATCTAGAGGAACAGAAATTGAGAATCGTGTCTGGCCTTTTTTAATATGTGGCTAATATATGGAGGAGAGCATTCTTCACATTGCTACTATGGTCAGCACATCCAGTGTTGTGGGGTGGGAGAAAAATCAGTGTGGATACCAGGATTTTCTTTTCTTAAGGCATTTTGATTTATTTCAATTTTGAAGCAGAATATCCATAACTTGACTTGAAAAGTTTCACTTTGAAAAAAAACCACCATCATCCCTTGTTCCTATTGCCCCTTTCAAAATACTTGAAAATATTGTGGTAGGAGGCCATTCCAAATGAGAAATTAAAACACCTTATTTTGGAATCTCAGTCTTCCCAGAGTACTGAGTTTAAAATTATTTTTTCTCTAAAATCATTTCATTGAAAAGGCCTTATTTCTACTTATTTACTCGTTTGATAGATAAACCTTAATGTCTGCACTTTTCTCTGAATTAATTTTGTTTTAAGCTATTCTCAAAGCCCCAGTAAATATTATCTGAGGTTTCTGTGATATTGCAAGACTCATCCTGTTTCTGACCACATCTGTGGAGCTAAAAGGCTTCACTTGCACCAAATTATCACCATTACTGACTATGCAGCCAAGCTTGCAGTGCTTGTACCAGTAGCCACACTGGCTGTATTTCAGACCATTGCTCTTTGAAGCACTTGACTTTTTTTAAGACTTTAAATCATTCCTAAATTTTCTTGAGTC